CACACACACACACACACCCCTAAGCAAAGGGCAGCCAATATTTCTAACCTCCCATCCAGGCTACAGAAGGGCAAGTTGGCGGGTTTCTGTTCTCGCCACTAAAAGGCTCAAGGGTCACTCCAGGTAAACTGGGCTGACTGGGCTGCACGAAATAACCACACAAGAGACACAAATACCTTTTGGTTTGGGGTCGTTGTGACAGCTCCTCTGAAGTTAAGGGTCCACAGGAAGAGAGCAAGAGCACGCGCTGACCCCTTTTATTGAGGAGAAGCTATTCAAATGAGGCAAGGGGTCAGGTTTCAGGGGGCTGAGTCTATCTTCATGATGTCCACTGTCAGCAGGTTGACTGACACCAGGGTAGGCCACACCCAAGGGCACAGTAAGAGAAGGGGACACACACAAGGCACTTCTATGGAAGATTCTATCCTAAACAGGGCAAGGGATAATATTACAAAGGAACAGGTGAGCACAGCTTCACCCAGGAGCTGACACACCCATGCAAGAGACACCGACCCTCGCACCCAAGAAGGGTGGGGAAAACTCTGCCACATTTCTGTACCTCTGCACCCAGCCAGGGAGTGGACTCAGTCACGTGTAAGGTTGGTCTCCCACAGCAAGTTAAGGTTCCAGAGGAGAAATCCTCCCTAGTAGCTCTCAGCTGTTGGGGGGCCGAGCTGGTGTGCGAAGCTCTAAGTCTAGTGGTATCATGTCATATGGAGACATTGCAGAAGACACCAACGGAGGAGTTTTCCAGCAAAGTCTGCAGGATGAGCTGGACAGGGTTTCTCGGGCTCCAGGGAAGCGCTGCTCTTCCCCTGGTCCTGCTCAGCCTCTGACAGCCCCTGGATGAGACCAGAAGGCAGGTGCTCCACAGGGAGGATGCAGCTGGACAGGTGCTGGTGAATCCCAGGGGTGCCCTGTGCTTGTGAAGGGGCACACCTCCCAGGAGGCAGAGCAGTGTCAAGGGAAGATGCTGCCCTGGGGACAGAGAGCCAGGGACCTAGGACAGTTAGAGGGAGTGCATGAGATCTGGAGCGGGCCCTGGTCATAAGCCAGGCCGGGGGCAGCTAGGGGCCTGGCTAACAGGCGCAGGTACTCTGGGGGCAGAGGGTCTGGCTGCACTTCCTCCATGAAGGCCCTGGATGAGACTCTGGAATGTCTTAGAGCCTCAGTTTCCTCATCTGTGAGGCTGACAGTCATACACCCCTCACTGGGCGGCCTAACTGAGGTGGCAGCTCTTAGCCAAGTGAGGTATAAGCCGGGGGAACAAGGCAGGGCCAGGCCTGCTCACTGCGTCCTCTCTGGACCCTTCTGTGCCATTGGCTGAGGGAGGCACAGTGGTCAGAGGGCTGTGGGGGAGGAAGAGCACAAAGGGTGGCCAGAACCCAAGCTTTGGGGAAAGATGATCAGACCATCCTCTGGGAACTGAGCAGGGAGCCCGTGTGGCCCCCATGTGGCTGAGACCTCTAGAATGAGGGTCCAGGGACCCAGATTTCAGCTCAAGGTCAAGCAGCCATTTTTAGCACAGGCAGGGAACTAGCCAGTGGGCTCAGCCCATGGGGAGCTGCCGGTCCTGGACCCAGTTCTGTCTCCCTGGTCTACTGTCGGAACAGAACTGGCACTTGAGATCCAACACAAAGTCAAACTCCATCCCCTCCACTGGCCAGGAAAGCATCCAGAAGGGAAGACACCCTCTGAAAGCCCCTGGACTTGTGGCCCAGGCTTCCGCCCTTCCCCCAGGCCTTTCCTTTGTGGCTTAAAGCTTGGAGGCACAAACCAGGAATCCTCTCTACCCACAGTCTTCAGCCTTACCTGATAGAACATTCCCACCCTCCCATTCCCCCAGCTGTTCCCAGTGTCGGCTCAGGTTCAGGACAGTATCTAGCAGGAAAGCCACTGTGCTACTTTTGAGCAGTTCACCGTCTGGCTGAGGGGACAGTGCGCCCCTCAGCTGCCCTCCCTTGACCATCCTGGGTCACATCACTGCATCCAAGGGTCCCTCCCCACACACTAGCCTGCAGTTCCTGGCCCCTCTCCTTGGTGTGTGGCCCCAGCTGGCCCCGACTAGCTTCCTCTGAGTCCACTCAAGGGACCCTTCTGCAGGGTCTGAGCAGGGGCTACACTGGAGGAAAAGCAACATCTCTGTGAATGAGCCAAGAAGCTGTCTGCTGGGGGTGCTGCTAGAGGCCTCCAGGATGTTTCCAGGGAGACAAGCCTTTGCTGGCTCTTGGGGGGCAGGAGGGGAGGGATCAAGGGATCAGGGGAGCTCCCAGGCTATCAGAATTGTGCTTAATGCTGCCCAGTTTACAAACAGCCGGAGGTCTCCGGGACCCTCCCCAAACCCATGGGTAGTGCTGTGGGTAGCCCAGTTTACAGATGAAGAAACTGAGGCTCCCTGCAGTCTTCAAGTCACCTCCCTCCTCTGGGCCTCAGTTTCCCTGKTAGAAAACAGTGCAGGTCCACAGTCATGTCATGAACAGGGCTGGCTCTGGGCTGTGGGGTGAGTCCAAGCCCCAGATGCTGCCTTCATACAGCTAAGGCTCACTGAGCTGAGCCAGAAGCTGTGGCTGTGTTCAGATGAATCTCTCCTTGACTCCTAAGGCCACTTGAGCAGGTGGGGGAGTGGCTCATGGCCAAGGAAGACATGCTGGATGCTGGGACTCAGGAGATGTGGGTGGGGTGTCCCTCGCTCTGGACATGGTTTCCTCATCTGGAAATGTCTGTGTACCCCTGTTGTGCCTTGATCCTGGACTTTTGTGAGCTTCAGGTGGTGGCACTGGTGGGAGATCAAAGTGGCATATATACCCAGGGGTCCAGGTATAAGACACCCCCTGCCCTGCATGCTCCAGCCCCAGCCCAGCCACAGAACCCTGCAGACAGGCAAGAGGCGGGCAGGAAGGTCGTGAGCATCTGGGCTGGACTGCCTGTGTGACAACAGGCGCTCTCTCTCCCCCATCCCTCTTCCTCCCTCCCCCCACCTCCCCCACCCCCATCCCTGTGTGTATCTCTGTGTCTGTCTGTTTCTGTGAATGTGTGTCTCTCTACCTCTTGGTCTGAGCCCCTCCCTGTGTATCTCTGTCTCTGTCTCTGTCTCTGACACTCTATCTGTACCTGTTCGTCCATCTCTCTGTGTCTTTTCCCCTGTCTCTGGGCCTCTCTCTGCATCTGTCTCACTCTCCCTGTGTGTCTCTGTGTTTCCCTGTCTCTGTACCCTTCTGGGGCCCTTTCCTCCCCCTCTCTGCAGAGACCCCTGGAGAAGCCCGATGGCCTGGACGTGTCTGACCAGAGCAAGGAGCACCCACAGCACCTCTGCGAGAAGTGCAAGGTCCTGGGCTACTACTGTCGCCGCGTACAGTGAGCCACCTGCAGCGCCCCCTGCCGGCCACGCTGCCTCCCCTGCCCTGCTCCCAGGGGCTGCATGTCCCCTGGCCAGGGGGCTCTTGGGGTCTTTGTCTTGAGTGTGTTGACAAACAGTGTTACTGACATTGCTGCCCCAACAGGCTGCGGGAGGCAGAGGCCCGGGGCTCTTCACAGCCTGGGGGTCTGTGGAGGCCTAGGCCCCACAGAGTCCTTGGTGTTCCCCTGGCTCTTCTCTTCTGAGAGTCCCTTTGGAGGGAGCAGCCTTGTATTGGCCACAAGTGCACTAAATTTACTGTGAATCCCAAAGCCTGCAGGGGACTACTTCCCCAAGACCAGCCAGGCCAGCTTCTCTCACCCAGAACCTTTCGATTTGCCCTGTATGAAAAGTCACTTTGGAAAGCCCTATCAGTCAGTCCTAGGTAGCAACCACGGGGGGCAGATGCTTCCTCCGCAGCTGCTGGGGAGCGGGCCTCTGTGCCCTGCCCACACTGAGCCCCAAACTCTGACCATCTCTGATGTCAGTGCATCACACCCAGGAGCTGCACCCGGGGGACCCAGAGGGCAGAGGCAGGACAGGGAAGGCTCTGAATGATGCTCCAAGGTATGTCCTGGGGCATGTGGGGAAGCACCCCAGTGACCCCCAGCAGCACTTCCCACCAGCTGGGTGCTGTGAGCCCTGTTCCCTGTTCTGCCTCTTTCCTCCCACCCACACCAGGTGCTGCAATCCCACCAGGCTGCCAGATGTAGCACAGAAAATACTCTGACAGGAAGGACACAGGCCTGGCATTCTGGAGATGTACCATGTCACCTGGGGCAAGGACTTCTCATCTCCAGCCTCAGTTTCCCCACGATTTAAGTGAAAGAGTAACACTACAAAGCCTAGAAGTCCCCCAGCTCTGATGTTCCAGAAGTAGGCTGGCCCCAGGCCATGCTCCAGAACAGAGAGCTTTTTTTGGAAGGAGTCCCCTGGATGGTGGGCGACACCTCCAGGAGCCCTGTACTCCATACCACTGCCCCTCACTGTGTCGCCTGGGGAGTCACATTCTCCCCTTCTGCCCCCTGCAACTCCGCTTTGACTGTTGTCTCCTCCCTGCAAACCCCCCCATCCTCCTAACCCAGGTCTCCCCAGCCCTCACTGGGGCAACCCTGAGACAAGCCACAGAACCTCTCATTTGGAAAAAGGGGACAATGATTGCCTACCTCCCAAGGGATCAGAGAGGCCTCTTGGCACATCACATGGTCAGGGAGACCACCGTTCTGGCAGGCAGGAGGGCGCCTCCTCTCTCCCCAGTGAGAAGCCCCATTCCTATTGTCCTCTCCCCCTGCCCCCGCTGGGGGAGGGAGAGAACTGGCTGCCAGGACTGAGTCGCTTGATTTTGCCCCAACATTTTGCCTCTGTGGGGAAAAAAAAAAATCAGACCATGAAATGGGCCTGAAATTCAGTGTTTACCATGGCTTGAGGACACCCATCCGGTGCCCAGTCGCCTTTTGTTTTCAATTGAAAATGTTTTGTGCAACTGAAGAGTTACAGTGAAGTGTTAACCAAGGGTCCAGGGAGCAAGTGGACGAGATGGAGAGTATCTGCAGCCCGCTGGCTGCAAGGAAGATTTTGGGGCCATATCCTCTGAGCACTTAAGAGCCGTTTTTGAGCTCCCTCCTTGCTGCGTGTAGGGATGGGGGATGGACTGAGCACCCAACCACCACTAGGGATTGCCTCTGAGCCTGCCCCAGCCCAGCTGCTGTGTTTGGGTGACCTGGGTGGCCTTGGCCCAAAGCTTTTGTCCCTAAGGAAAAGCTGTTGCTGTCAGTCATCCTACTGGGCCTCCAAAGAGAAACTTTGCCATGGTGGCAGTATGCTAACCTCCACTGTGAGGACATGCCAGACATGGGGACCGTTGGCCCAAGGATGCCTGGGGCCTGCCAACTGGGCTGCAAAGGTAGGGAAGCCCACACTCTTAAAAGAACCGGGATTCCAGAGCACAGGAGGCCAGAGCCAGCCAGAGATGGCCTCTCACCCCAAAGTGGCCTTTTTGGTGGCCATTGTCCTAACATCTGTGCAGCAGGGGCTGGGCTATCCCTCCTGGGGTGGCCCTTGGAGGCTCTTCGAGGTCAGCAGGAGACACTGCTGTCTGGGCCAGTGCTGTGAGAATTAAGTGCTCAGTGGACCTGGGAGCCCAGGAGACAAGAAAGTTTTGTGGTTTTAGTATGTTCAAAAGGGACAACTGCTTGCAGTCAGTAGATCTAGCGATCTAGTTGGGAGATAATGGTGTTTACCCCCCATGAAGTATTTGATAGCTCTACTTGTGAATTTGTATTTATTTTGCATTATACTTGACACAGAAATCCTTTTTTAAAAAAACAAAAATACTATGTGTGTATTTTGGGAAAAAAAACTCATAGATGTTAAAATTTCTGCACAGTTACCAGTTTTTCTCACAACACTGAATTTGGTAGCTTCTCCCGAAAAATCTTCACAGTGATTTTTGTCTGTATATATTTGAGGGCCTTTTTTTTAAAAAAAAAAAAAAAAGAAAGAAAGAAAGAAAAAAGAAAAAGAAAAGAAAAATATGTTTGCCTGATTTTTTTGAGACAAAAAAAAAGAGAGAGGCATTTTCAAATTTTCAGAGCTTTCAGGAGGGCAATAGAATATCAAAGAAAGATTTCTGGAAGTATTTTGCAAACCTTCTGGTTGAGCAGCAAGAAAATATTTATGGTGAGAAGTTTTCTTTTTTCTTTTTCCTGTTATGGTTTTGGATTTTTTTTTTTTACTATGCTTTTGTCCTGTAAAAAGTATGCAACTGAACTACATTAAGAAGGAAATATTGTCTACATAGAATATTATATGAAGTTGGTACATAATTCTGATGAGAAAAAAAAATCTTTGCAATTCTCTAAGCCATGTTATTGTTATTCTGTTATTGTTTTCCATGGATGAAAATATCAGTATTAAGTAGCCAGCATATTATTCAAATGTTTAGACTTATTAATATGTTCTTGTCCTGTATTTATATGTATGTGTATTTTGGAAAGTATTCCCTTTTTTAAGGGGAGCTATTATTAGATACATATCGAAAAAGGGAACCGTGACCCCTTTGTGCCTCTTCCACTGAGGATAACAAGCACAGCGTTGTAGTCTCTTCCTACACCTCCTTGCTAGGAGCTTGTCATTACACTTTTATTAATTTCATGGGCAGCACGGGGAATGGACAGGGGAAGAGGGAAGCATTTGATGACCTAGCCCCTCCAGGGTCTGCCACCCCTTGGCCCGGTCCGCAGTGCCCAAGGAGGGAAGAGGAAAAAGCAAGCAAGAGTCCCCAAGGCCCCTGTCTGGAGCTTTCTCACCTGAGCCGGGTCTCGCCCCATGCTCTTTGAACTTGGAAATGTCATCGGAGCCATTACGCCTGCCCTCCAGCATCTAATCAACTTGAATCTACTCTAAACAAATATTTAATCCAGCCTCACTACATTCTAGCCCAGTGCAACAACTAACCCTGAATTGTGGGGTGTTCCAGCCTCTAAAGAGGTGGCTGAGCCCCCCCACCCTGGGGCTGGGAGGCTGGTGGCAGCGGGGATCTTTGCTCTCATCGCCAAACTCACTGTTGGACCCCCCCCCCCCATGGTGACCCTGTCCGTGTCTGTGTCTGTTCATGTGTGTGTGTGTGTCCAGCTAAGAAGACAAACAGAACCCGTGGGCCCTGGCTGGAGGGCGCGAGGGTCAGCCCCCCGCGCTTCCCCCRGGGCCGCCCGCGGGGTGGCATTCCGTTGTGTGCCTTACTCCTGGAGACTGTACGGCTTGCCTAAGGAAATGTAGCCTTCCGCGCTGTATTAAAAGGATTTTGGAAAGCAAAGAGGCTGGGGGTTTCCTTGTTTACACAGAGCACCGGGAGGAAGCTGGACGACACAGCCCAGCCAGAGGGACTTGGGGCCGCCCTCCGACTTGTGCTTGCCCTGCCTCCACGCCACTGACCTGCCTCCTCCCAACCCCTCTGCCACCAAGTGGACTCTCTCCAGGGTGAGGCTCTCCCCAAGTCAGGCCCCAGACTGGGAGAGATTGTCAGCAGATTAGGTCACAAGTTAGCTCAGCCACGGGACTCCCGGGTAACCATATATAGGAGCGAATCTGCCACGGGCATGGCAGCCCTGGGCCCCACTGCGGCTGCTCACGCTGGATCCTCTCGTCTGAGATGGGGGTTTGAGCCCCCTGACATTGGGCATCACACCCTGAACCAGTGAAGTGTCCAGGGGAGAGGGAACAGTGAGTTCCTCCAGGAGCAAGGCCAGCACTGGGCAGGACTGGGCCCCTGGTAGAGTGTCCCAGACGGGAGCCACAGAGGAGCAGGACCATCAGAAGCCAGGTGTCTGCAAAGCCCTCTCGCCCAGGATCAGTGCTCTATTCCTTCCCAACCTTGCCACTCACCAGAGTCACCTGTGTGTGTATGGGGGGGGGGTCACCTATGGGGGGACTTTAAACATGCCAATGCTCTGGCCCCATCATAGAGATGCTGAGAAATCTGCCTGGGCTGTCCTCAGGTTCACAAGACCCTCCAGATTAACACACTGGGCCTCCAAGCCTGAGCCACACTGGATTTGTGGCAGTCCCTCGAGGTTCCATGGGGCTGATGGTGGTGTCATCAAGGAGGCCCGTGGGCATGGGGTTCCAGCCCCACTGAGGGGCATCCAGACCCCAGACCAGCTAATTGTGGCAATCTAAGAATAGTGCTACCCCGTGGGGAGGGAGGGGAGAGAACTGGAAATCCCACTTGACATGTGAAATTTTCCAAGTTTTAAGTTTTGGCAACTAGTTGACAAAACATTTAAATCCTGTACAGGTGAAAGCAGAGGACTGTGGACAAGCCCAGGCTTCCTGACTGCAGACTATGAAATGGAGCAAACAAAATGCAAATCTTTGGGGTCAGGGAACAGGGATGCAGGAGCAGGTGAGACAGGCAGGAACAGGTTCCTGACTCTAGAAGCAGAAGCCCTTGTCTGATTTGGGGTGCAGAGGCCACCAAGACTTTTCCTGTTTATTGGCATAAAGAGGATTCCCATCCACTGCCCTCTCTCAGGGCACACAAGGCAGGCAGGGCTGGAGGAGGACCCAAAGTAGAAGGCGCCAGTCCAGCCAAGTGTGTGAGTGCAGAGGGTGCCCTAGACACCAGAGAGAGGAGGAGACTCCACACCAGGCTCTCTGTCAGCCAGGGGACCCTCCAGAGCCCTAAGAGGGGTACAGCGCCCAGGACACTGAGCCTGTCTCTGTCCAAGAGTGCTGAGACCTCTGCAGGGCTCCTGCCAGGCCAGCCCTGCCTGTCCCAGCTGTGTGACATTGCAGTCTCCCTCATTCACTTCTATGAGATAAAAACTCAGTGAAGGAGAGACCCCGCATACTGCTGGGCACCCAGGACAGCCTGGCTCGGAGGTGACCTCTTGCTTCCGTTGTCTGTGGCTCAGGCATAAACATCCTGCTAGGGATCACACAGCAGAGTGAGAGGGGCCAGGCCTCGAACCCAGGATCCCATTTGCTCACCTCAGGCATGGCCTGCCCAGCCTGAGGCTTCCGGGCTGTGGTGGGATCTTGGTTGAGTGCGTGCCTCCCTGTGCATGCGCCTGTGTGTTTTGTTTTTCCAGAAAACAAACCTAACACAAACAGCCTGAATTTCGACATCTCCTGCCTGGTGGAGCTGTGGAAACCAGTAATTCCCCTGGACAGGAAGGATTTCCGGTTGGACTTAATGCCCACGTCCAGAGGCGGCCAGCTGCTGAGGGGCCCAGGAGAGAGCAGAGTCCATTAGAGAAGGGACATGGGGGACCCAAGAGGATGGCCCAGTTCTGGGAGGAAGCTGAGGCCCCATAGGAAAGGTGTCTCCTGGGGTCACCCGTGGACATGTGGTAGAACCAGGATTTGAACTTTTCGAGGTCTCCCTTCCCACTGCAGTGTTTCAGAGACAGATCTGGGACTGACCTCCAGTTAGCAACCCAAACTCAGAATTGCCAAGGTGGGACAAGGAGTGAAGGCCCCAAGAGCTGGGGTGACCTTGAAGAACAAGAAGACMAAGAAGGAAGAGAAGGAGTAGGAGGGCAGCTCTGATCATGATGGTTATAGGGTCATATAGAGCCCCCTGTGTTGGTCCCTGACATAGAGCAGAAAACCAGACCAATACCCAGGCCAGAGAGGTAGATTTGTAGGGCCCACCCACCACAGCACCAGATCCCAATGGGGGCTCAGTGTCCTCAGGCACTTAGGGAAATCGGGACATCCTGAGGTCTGCAGTGGACAGCCAGGCTGCTCCCGCCCACAGCACAGCAGTGACCACTCTGCCCTGAGGTGGGAACCACTGTGGTATGGCGGTTCCTCACGCCAGGAGGCTGTGTCTAGATGGCCATCCAGACTTTCTGGCCTCATGCAATCCCACAGGAGCCCAGGGAGGGGATAATATGTCTAGGGCAGGTGGAGAAACTGAGGCTGGCGAAGCCCCTGACATCCAAGCCCTACAACCTCTGCTCCACTCTCCGACCTCCACGGTGTGCTGTTTCTGAACCTGACAAGGGGGGCTGAGTGAATGTCTATGAGCCCATTCGGTCTTCCATGAACTGCCACCTCTGGGCCCTTCATCCTCAGGACTAGGCCTGGTGCCTGGCTAGGGCCAGCCCTTCATGGGCTGAGCCGACAGGCCCCACCTGCCCTCAGACTTCCTGACCCTGGCTCCCCAGGGCCTGGAAAACCCGGGGCCAGGCATCCAAAGGATGGCTGTCCTTCAAGCTGTCATCCTCCCGGGGTGTCTGGGAGCAGGGACAAGGGCAGGGAGGGGCCAAAAGGAAGTGGGGTAGTGGCTGAGGGTAGGCTCCCCTCTCAGTCAGGCGTTCTGGCTGTTCCCCAGAGCTCTGGCCTGAGCCAGGAACAGCCTGTCCTCAGCTCAARGGCCCCTCCAACACCGCCCCCACCATTGATCCTAAGGCTGGATTCCCAGCAGAGAGGTTAGAAGCACTTCCCTGCCCCCACCCRACCCACTCGCGGGTGCACACACACGTTCGCCTTCTCCCCCACTAGTACACAACTGACACCATCGCACACGCAAACAYGCATTCACAGACACCTCACAAGCCCAGCTGCAGCAGGTGGAGTGCCTGGGGCTGCCTCTGAGGCCAGCTAGGCTCTGCTGAGGGCGGGGTCTGCAGCCCAGGCCCCCAGCCTCTACCCCTCCCTTGTCCCCTCTTGGCCAACGCTCACTTTAGGGATGAGGAATCACTATAGGGAGATCAGCTTCCTGTGAACCTGCCCACCTCCTCCCCCACAGGCCTCTGTCCCTCACCGGAAACGGAGGAGCCAGGTAGGCCAGAGAGGCCAACCAAGCCTCGGCCCAACACAGCGAGCAAAATCCTGTGCTCCTACTTCACACACTGGAAGGAATTCAGGTTCTGTGAGGTGTGATAACGACACTGGGATCCCATAAGAAAAGTCCAGGACAACACCTGGGCTTTGTTTTCAAACAATCCAGAATGGCGGGGGTGGCGGCGCGGACAGGGGGTGCTGTTGAAATGAGACTGGCCAGCTGCTGAGGAGCACGGCTGGGAACTGGAACTGCAGTACTTGATGCTCTGCTCTCCTCTGTGTCTTTTCCACACCTGAGCAGGAGATGAGCTCACAGGTGAGCCAGGCCAAGGTGTCCAAGGCAGACAGGAGGGGTGGGGGGTATAAGGCACATGCTGTGATTAACACGCATCTTTTTTGATTCTTGCAACATTTTACACAGGAGGAAACTGAGATTCAGAGAGGTTGAGTGACTTGCTTAAGGTCACAGAACTGGCAAGGAGCAGAGCCCACATTCTCCTCCCAAAGCTACCCCCCTTCCCAAGTCCCTGCCTCCAGGGGACAGAGGTACAGAGTCCGATCCCCCTCTCCTGCTGCTTCCTGCAACTCCCACGCAGCCCATGGGTCAGCAGCCTTACCCCAGCCCCCTCTGCCTGCCCTGGCCCCCTGGCTCTGCCCATCATAGCCTGGCRGCCTCCCTGGGCATCATCTAGTACAGGCCCATGTTTCATGGAGACCTGGATAGAAGCCAGAACCCAGGCCCAGTCCTTCAAGAAGCACCCAACTTTCTTGCCATTTCTATCCTTGGAAAGCTCCCAGGAGCCCCTCAGGGGTAGGGGCAGCTCTGTCCATCTCTTCTGTGCCCAGAGCGAGCAAGACAAGTTGGCACCTGTGTCTTCTCTCCACGGACATGTTTCTCCTTCCTCCTCCTGGAGCCCTGAAGTGCGTCCAGTTGCCCTCCCACTTCTCCCTCTTGGACAAGAAGCCTCCAGACCTCAAAGCCAGGAGCTGAGCAKCGTCCCCTCTACCACCTTCTCTCCATCCCCCCTCCCTGTTCTGGTCACTAAGCTGAGCCCAGCTCCACAGCCCCTCTGCACCCAGCTCCTGCATCTGGTTGGACAATTTGGGGTTCAAATCCTGCCTTGTAAATCCAGGACCATGGCATCTGCTGTGACCTGTCTCCACCTCCCTACCCTCATCCTGGGTGGGACACTAGGTCACCTGCCTGACTCAGTTTCCTCCCTTGTTAATGGGAATGAGAATGCTCACCTACCTACCAGAGGGTTGTGGCCAAGATTAAACTGCATAAGGCAGACAGGAGCTTGGCACATGGGGCACACTCAAGAACTGTTAGCCACTGTGCTCATCAAAGAGGTRGTGATGGCCACCTGGGGCCCCTGGATTTCTCTCTCGGCCTCCTCCCATCCACTTCTTGAGCCATGCGCTCTAAAACCTGCGTCCTGACAGGCTACAGGACCATGCCCACACCTTGCCTCAGAGCAGGAACTTGGATCTGTTGATTGTCCTTGGCCTACCGGCCACTTCCCTCCCTTCCCCAAGTACCCACATTCTGTTAGTCCAATTCTTTTGACTGGGCTTCTGCCCCAGTTCTGTTGTACTGTGGCAAAAGGCCCTTGCCAGGCACATAAATTTCTAGTCCTCCTTTTCCTGGGAACCTGACCATAGTCCTGCATCAAGGTGCAGACCACTTTWTATGGCCTGCACCCCCTGCACAAACTAGCTAGCCCCAAATTCTCTTCCCTGTGCTTTCCTTTTGCACCCATCAGCTGGTCCCCTTCTGCCCTCTGGTGTCAAAACTTGAGAACTACAACTGTTTGCTGGCTGGCAAACCTGTACTGCATAGGAGATAAATGGGGATTTTTTTTTTTTCCTTTCCCCCAAATCCCAAGTGAGTCCTGATCTCCTTAGGCCTCAAGCTTGAGTAAAATTTCAAGTGGTAATATCGTGCTTTCTCCCAWTGAATGTAAAAACAATGCATGCACAATATGAAGTGAAAACAACAAAGATAGGCAGAAAGATGTGAACACCCCAGTAGTACATCATTGTTTGTAAAAGTCAATCTTTTTTTTTTTCTTAATCACCTTTCTGTTTGGCATGGTGGAAAGATCTGGAATCAGAAGAGCCAGCGTTTGATCTGGCGGCTGTTAGAGGGTCAGTTCACATCCCTCTGCCCCTCAGGTCTTAGTTCCCCCATTGATCTAAACTTTCAGGACATTGGGTTCCAGCTAGAACTCTTTACTCGGGCCCTCCTGACCTGCGATTAAGTCTGGAGTGGACAGAGCCCACAGGCTGCCTGGAGTCATCCATGTAGTACGTCTGAGAGCCTGCAAAATCCCCAGAAGCCTAGGAATATATATAGTCACATGCTGCATAATTAATGTCAGTTAACAACACACCACATATACAACAATGGACCCATAGGATTATATTGCCTCAGGTCCTTGTAACCACCTTAGCTTATGTAAGTATACTATGCGACATTCACACAAGAATGCAATCATCCTGTGATGCAGTTCTCAGAACATGCCCCTTGAATAACATGCATTATTCAAGGCGTGATTATATAAGCAATCATATACTAATATTCCTTGACTTATGTTAGGGTCAATTCCAACAGCTCCATTGTAAGTTGACAGTATTGTAATTTGAAAATGCATTTGATACATTGAATCTAACAAATATCATAGCTTAGCACCATGGTATACTAGAGTACTGGTTGTTTACCCTCCTGCTTGCAGCTCTTGCTGCTATTGCCCAACATCACAAGGGAGTGTTGTATTGCTAGCCCAGAAAAAATTTCAAAATTCCAAATTCTAGTATGGTTTCTACTGAATGCATACTGCTTATACACCATTGTTACTCAGAACATCATAAGTCAAACTATCATAAATTGAGGACCATCTGTAATCAACAAGGAATTGTCTCTGTAAAATAAGAGATCTTATAACTTGACAACAAAATCACTAATTTAAAAACACACAAAGGCTCTGAATAGACTTTTCTTCAAAAAATATATATACAAAGGTCCAATAAGCACGAGAAGACGCTCAACATCACTAGCCCCTGGGAGGTATAAAAAACAAAATCACAATAATAATATTGTGGTTTAATAATGCCACTTTACATCCACAGGAAAGGCTAGAATAAAAAAGATAATAGTGAGTATTGGGAGGTGTATGTAGGGAATTGGAACCCTCACGCATTGCTGGTAGAATTGTATRATATAGCTRTTTTGGAAAACAGTTTGACAACTCCTATGAAAGTTAAGAAAGTTAAGAATAAAGTTACCRTTGGTATATAAAACTATTTTTCACATTTAAGTAAAATGTATGTCTACTTTTTATATTTAAATTAAAATATTATTTGCAATTAGTCTGTGATAAGTGAAACAATATGTAGTTTACCCCAAAGAAATCACTAAAAAGTAAGATGAAGAATTAAATCTAATGAGTCAATGAGATAGAAACGGAATCACTTGGGGGGAAAAAAAATTAATCCAAAAGAAGAAAACAGAAGGCAGATGGGACCAATAGGTGGGTGACTTAAATTTACATATATACCATTACATATAAATGTTCTAAATATTTTGTTCAATGTCAGATTGGATCAGACAGTAATGCTCAATGCTCTGGTTGTCGGTCCACTGTCTCTTAGCTCTAGAGCCTCCCTTCTTGGCCATTTGTGACACTGACAGTTCTCCCTTGCCACTTGGAATATATTAGGTTATATCAGCAGAGGGCACTGCAGAGAGTCTTCAACATTTCCATTTGCTCTTAGGCATCACACTTTCCCTTTCAAAACATTGTGTTGTTTGTCTCTTGTTTGGATCCTGACTACRTAAAACTGACACCAGGAGTGGTCCCACGAGATAATCCCCGTAAAAATGGGATTTGGAGGTTGGTTTGGTTGTGCCCCTGGACTTGAAGGCAAAGCTGAACTACCTGCCAATGAGAAATGGTATGCTAATAATTCCTAGCATGCAGTGACATCCAAACTAGTCACATGTGGCCAAGTGCCAAAAGCATGTGCCTTCAGAGGCCAGTTGGCTGGAGATCTTGACCATTGTGACAGGGATGATGACCATGAAGACTGTGATGTAGGGTGAATTCTTTTGTGGCTACTTGATTGCTTACCAAATAAAAATGAAATACGTTTATCCTTTAATTCTCAGTGTAAGTAATAGTCTGAGAACCAGAAATCTTCCATGATAACTCCAAAAGATTCTCCAGTTTCTTGTAGACACTGGGCTGATATCACGTGAAATGAAACAAAAACTTAATTGTGTAGGTTGATGAATCACACTATCATTTGAGTTCAGTCTTATCAAACAAAAACTTAATTGTGTAGGTTGATGAATCACACTATCATTTGAGTTCAGTCTTATCAAGTTTTGCATGTGAAAGGGCATTGACAAGAAAGAATGGGATCCTGAAGTTTGGAATGGGGATATCTGGTTGGATCCAAATGAAAGCAACAACTTGAAACCTTAAGTAACTCTGGTCATCCCTTACCAGTGGAATTAGTTTTCTCTCCTGAGCTTGAGATAAACTAAAAATACTGTGATAACCTCACCCAGGACAGGTGCTTTGAGAAGGCACACTCGAGACCCACCACAATCACCCCCTACATAAATAGGATGAATCTCAGCTTTTTGTTCAGACATTAAACCAAMCTTGMATTCCTGGGATAAGTCACATATGGTTTGGCATTCATTAGGTATCAAGTGTGGCCAGGAATCTGCAGGTTTTACCAGACCTGGGATTCCTAGAAACATTGCTTTGGGCTTTACCAGGCCTAGGAAACATCTAAGAAATTTCTTTCATGCAGCAAAATTCTATAGAACTGTGCACGACAAGTCGGACAAAGGTGAATCCTGTTTGATGTTTCTACAAAGTCCTAGAACAGGGACAGTTTATCTATAGTGACAGAATTCAGTGACACCTGGGAAGAGATTGGAGAAAACCTTTTGGAAAGATGGAAGTGTCTTAAATGGTACTTAGATTAACCAATGTATGTGCTTGACAAATCATTTTCATGCACACTTGAAACTTGCGAATTTTATTGTGTATAAATTATACCTCCATGAAATCATTTTGAAAAACTATCCTGTCTTATAAAAAAATTGATGTTTCAGACTTTTAAAAAYATGTTCATATGGTATCAAGTGAGCAGGTGTATGGCTCATTGCTTCATTTATGCATTAAGTATTGAGTACATAGGACCAGCAACAAGCCAACATTTTCTTTGTGTATTACTTATGCTCTTGCTTTATATAARAAATAAGACCAGAGTCAGGCTTTTGCACAGAGTATTGGGAGGAGAATTGCAGGGAGTGGGCTTGCCTTCAGAGAACTGTTTCTAGAAAACCCTTGCTTACCCCACCCCACCTACCCCATACACGACACCTCCAGATGGAGAAAACTACACCCCCTCCTAAGTGAGAAGGAAACACTGGATGATTAATTGAGTGAATATTCACAGASTTGGAGGGATTGACATTCTGAGACCCCTCAGAACTTAGCATGGAGCACGTAGGTCAAGCTCCAAGGGGCTATCCCTCAAATTGTCACTGCTACCTGGAGTGCCCCAAGTCAACAGCAACTGGCTTTGACGTCCAAAGTTGGTAGTAATCTGAATGTGTGTGATCCTAAGACCTTTGGCAATATGTCCCCAAAAGGAGCCTATGCCATCCCTCTGGACAAGTAAGAACCCTAGGTTCTAGCCATTGCTCTGCCAATTGTCTCACATGGTCACCTGGGGCTATTACCATCACTCCTGGATGATGTGATGAACATTTACCAGTTATTATTTGGATCAAGATCCCATTCCTCAAATGAAATCCCTTTCAGGGACTTAAAGTAAGAAAAAATGAAGAATATCTATGATGGCAAAGGGACTCAAGGCCCATGCTTGCTCTACTCCTAGGCCTTTGAGAAATTTTTGAAAACTACCAGTCCTGCTGAGCTCCCAGTCCACATAGCTACACCCTGAGTTCATGGAAACTCCATGATTCAAGGACCCAACCCATCACCATGACCTCAGAGTGACTACATCAGCCAGTGACTTCATAGAACCTGACTCAGGAAAGTCTGTGTGGAMGGACTCTTGGTCTCAAGAGTCCAAGTCCCCTCTCTAAGGACTGCCTGCCTGACCCCCCACCATCCTGACCACATAGGGCTCTGGTGTTTAAGGAAGTTTTTTTTGGGGGGGGGGGGGKGGGGAGGTACGCTGCTGGGGATTGAACCCAGGGCCTTGTGCATGCAAGGCAAGCACTCTACCCACTGAGCCTCTTAAGGAAGTTTTAATCCTCCTACCCTGAATTCTACCCTCCTTGTAAATTCAGAAACAACTGGATTCCAAGTTAGAGTGGCACATCAAGAACAGGAAAAGAACTGAGGCTCAGTGCTAGAGTGTTTGCCTGCCACACATGAGGCCCTGGGTTCAATCCCCAGCAACACACACACACACACACACACACACACACACACACACACGAAAAGTCCACTCCTTACCTTAGATGCTGGAGGCTCCTGGGCTTAGGCATCTCTCTCCTTTCCTAAGATCCGACCCATGAGCCATGTCATCATCCTTGTCATTCCAAGTGCTGATCACAGTGATGTGGCAGGCACTGTGCTATATAGTATATAGCTCACATGGATCATACCTAATCCCTACCAYCCTGTGAGGTGAGCTTCATGCACCCATCATGCACCCGAGGAAAACTGAACCTTGGGACACTCACAGGCAGARCCAGGACTTACTTGGAGCCAGTGCTCATGGTGGGGCATGGATGCTAAGATGGAGTCTGTCTGGGCCTCGGCTTCATCTCTGAAGGGGTGACAACAATRATCCCCTCATAGGTTGTTGGATGATTAAATGAGACAGTCCACACAGAAGTCCTCAGCATAGGGCTAGGGCTGTACCTCAGTAGTAGAGCCCTTGCCTAGTATGTGTTAAGGCCCTGGTTCAATCCCCAGCATTGTAAAAAAAAAAAAAAAAAAAGTCCTTGGTACAGTACCTGACACTCAAGAAGCTGAAAGTGCAACAAATTTTCCTCCAGCTGGGCATGGTGGTGCCTGCCTAATCCCAGCATCTCAGGAGGCTGAACTAGGAGCATCATGAATTCAAAGTCCGCCTCAGCAACAGCAAGGTGCTAAGCACCTGTCTCTAAATAAAATATAAAATAGGGCTGGGGATGTGACTCAGTGGTTGAGTGCCCTGAGTTCAATCCTTGGTAACCACCGCCCTCAAAAATTTTTTTTTTTTTTTTGCTTCAATTTCTTTCTAAATCCATAGACACCAGTCTTTTGTAGAAAATAGGATTTATTATCACATTTAAGGTGAACACTGAATGTTCTAGAAATCTTTTATATATATCATCAGTAGTTTCAATTTATTCAACACACATAAAAAGCAAAGCCCACCAGGAAATACTTTCCTCCTGAGGACAGGGCACTTACAAGCCACTTCCATTTTTGACACAGTGATTCACATTGACTTGGCACAGCTAGCAATAGGTTTGTTCCCAGAGTCACCTGCTTCCACCCGCAGACCCTCCTCAAAAATGAAAGCAGCAAACCAATGGGATTCACAGTGATGGAAGGAAAGGCATCTTGGGAGTTTCTACAAAAGCCCTGAGTTATGTCTCAAAGGTCAGGCTCTCAGGTTCTGAGTCCTGTGCCACCAACTCAGTCACATCACAGCATGATATAGTGTCACAGCTTCATTTCTAGGCAATTTTATAAAATYATTACAATTAGGAAGACAACACTGAACAGGTATCACAGCCCTTTTGCAGCAAGTGGCTGTCCCCCAGGTCAAGGATAAGGTAGAAACCTTCACTGGACGCTGACCTGTCACCACCACCCATGACACAGATGAACTTGGGCTGGGCGATCATCAGCAATGCTTGATGAGGGGTGTGTGGCCTGATGTCATATTAGATGCCCAGAAATGGGGTCGTGAGGGGGGAACATCAGGAGAGTGCCCTGGGGTCCTGCRGAGGGGCGTGTCCCCAAGCCTTCCTCAAGCTCACACACAATGACAGTGGAGCCAGCACTGGCAGCTCTTTGGGGCACCTCCGTTAAGAGCCCTGGGCAGTAACCTGGGCAAGTCCTAGCTGCCGTCCCAGCACCTTGGCTGTGGGTTAGCTTAGCTGGCCACAGTCTGTGATGACAATCTTCTTGGATGTCTTCCCACTCTTAGAACCAAAAGATTCAATTTTCTTCACAACGTCCATGCCCTCTTTGACGTGGCCGAACACAACATGCTTGCCATCCAGCCTGGGGTGCGGGACAAGCAGACACAAGAATAGCACAATGTCACTCARCAGCCCAGCCACTCAGTCATGGGAACATCTGCCAATTCTGATAGAYCCCACTGATCCACTCCTGAAGCCCCCAAGCCCTGCTGAGCTCCCCCAACACACTCCAGCAGTTGCCCAGTTCCCAAGACAGGTTCTGCCACACACATTGTGACCTTGCCCCAGGCCACTTGGCCTGAATCCTGGTAACCTGGTCTATGACAAGTGAGCTGTCTGTGACAAGTGTTCTGCCTGGGGAGATGATGGGATATTGAACTACACTGAAGTAAGATGTCTACGCAAGGGAACCCCTTTCACAAACAGGTGTGGAGGGACACAGAAGCCCTGAGCACCTCTTGATTTGAGAAAGTTCCAAGAATGTGAAAGGCACTTAGTCCTGCTCCAGTGAAGTCAAGAGTGTAACAGCCAAAGGTGGAAGTGGAAGGCCCATTAAAGGCTCCATGGAAGGAGAGAAGACGGGCAGCAAGACGGACCGCCCAGCCCTGACATCCCATCTTTCTTGATTGAAAGGGAGAGACTAGCAGGTGTGCATCCCACCTAGGAAATCCTGGAAATGAGCTTAAGTCTTGGCTCCCAGCCAGCTGTTGGGCCCCCAACCCCAGTGGCCCAAGGCTAGAACACTAGGGACTCCAAACAAAGAAATTTATCTCTTAATAGAAGATTTGCCAGGGAAAAGACATCCCCGGAGCCCACAGGCATGTGGGAAAGGGGGCCAGAAGGGAGTTAGCTGCAGGCCTGAGCTAACACAGGGCTCGATGAAAACCTGCCGTGAAATCCAACCATCTACTGCGGTGTTTTCCAAGGTACATCCCATGATGAGACATGGTGGCCTGGACTAAACCAGGGGRGAACCCGCTTCTACTCAGGCCAAGGTGAGCCCTGCTGGCTGCGGCAYTTTCCAAGAATGTGTGGCAGAGAAACCCTCTTGTGTGTGTGCACAAAATACACAGCAATGACAATAAGTCTGATTATGACAGAGTTGTAGGACAACCTGAATTCTCCCTCAATCCTTTCACTAACTCTCTCATATAGACACACAGGAGAGGGCTAGTGTCCCAGATGGGAYATGCACAAAGTCTCCTCCCTCCCTCCTTAAGGGCATCCCTCATTCCCAGAGCGCCTGGGGTGGGGAACTCACCAGTCTGTCTTTATGGTACAAATGAAGAACTGGGAGCCATTGGTGTTGGGGCCTGCATTTGCCATGGACAGAACACCTGTCAAAACAAGCAGAGGTGAGCCACAACACCCCAGGGGGCATCTACTAGGAAGCCATTCAGAAGAGAGGATGGCTTAAACCACATCAAGGACGTCTGAGTCTGCAGATCAGAAAACCAGAAGAGAAGCAGGCTCAATATGCCTGGCCTTGCTGCCTTCAAGGAAAGGGCCTTGGGGAAGCTCTCAATGAAAGAGCTGAGCAGGATCCCCAGTCCTGACTTCTRGACTTTTCCACACTCCACCATGGTCTCTCAGGGGATAACATGCAGGGTTTCTGCTTAAAGGCCCTCCCSACCCAAGTTCCCAAAGGGAAGGTGGTGTTCCAAAGTCAGAACCTGGAAGGAGAAAACTCCAGGAAAACCCAACCAATGGGGGCCGGAGTGCTAAGCCACCCCAGGGGGCGCTGAAGGAAGGGAGGGGCACCCTGAGATCAGACTGCAGCCTCCTGGGGCCCGCAGCTGGGAGCTTAGAAAGGAGGACAGCAGCGCCACTCACCTGGCCCCACATGCTTCAGCGTGAAGTTCTCATCAGGAAAGCGGCTCCCGTAGATGGACTTGCCCCCAGTGCCATTGTGGTTGGTGAAGTCRCCTGCCTGCACAAAAGCACCCTCTGAGTGGTCCCATACCAAGCTGGCRGGAGATGGTTCTCTGGCACTGCCAGCAGCCCCCAGAGACTCAGGGCCTRGACTAGGAAGATGCCAGTCCAAGCTCCTGGATGCACTCAGGGCCCCCCCAGCCTGATAGGCATCCAGYAAAATGAGGACTAGTAAAATAATGAGGAAAATGAGCAAAAATAAAGTATAGTATTTTCTGTCATAACAACGACCCTTAAACAGTGAGCTTTTTTTTTGTCTGAGGTAATTTTTAAGTAATCCTCCAATGAACCATTCTGGACTATTTCTTAGTGACCCAGGATTTTCAACATACAGCTCTTAGAGGGTAACAAGGAAGTAGCCAGAGGCCATGTTCCTGAGTGTGGTCTAGGGGAACAGCAGCTGGCTCCGGCCAGTTCACATTCCCTGTCCTGGCTTCATGTCCAGGGGTGCTGTTTGGAACACCCAGAACAGGGTCCCCCGGGGCTGGCATCCTTCCTCAGAGATTGCCTAAGATCTAGGACTTCCTTGGAGTGCTCTGACCAGAAGAATCATGTGACTGCCCTGTGCCAGTCTCTGGCCATGGGCACACTGCAGTTTTCCTGAGATGGGATACTCAGATGAGCCAAACAACCTACCCATTCCAGCTAAAGCATCCACAGATGCCTGGCAGGTGTCCCCAGACATCAGGTCTGGGTCTCTGAGGGCCATTACCTCGTGCCACAGAAAGCTCTCCAAATTTGGAAGTCCTTATCTTGACTCAGGATAGCCACCTTAGCTCCTGCTTCACCCCTCAGCCAAAGGAAGAACTGTAAACTCTGCAGCAGAAAGGCCAAAGGGCTGGGCCTGGCTGGGCCCACAGCCACAGCCATGCCTGCCCTTTCCTGCCTTCACCCCCTTCAACACATATATAGGCATCACACAATGCCAGGAGTCTCGGCCCCAACCCATTGCCAGCCACTGGGTCAGGGTGGAGGGAATGGGGATGGAATTCTGGGCAAAATTTCAGAAAAATCACACCATCCATGCCCCTGCCTTTAGGCTCCGCTGGCCCCAGGACATTAACCCCTGACTTTGAAGGTCTGCCAAAGAGAAGGCAATCTCAACACTGCCCAGGTCCTGACCCCTGGGAAGTTCTTGCTGCCAAGCCTAATCCCCAAGCCTCTGACACAGCAATACTAACTCTTTTGAAAAACGGGTAAGACATATTACTAAAAAGCACATTCACTTAACAGAGAAAAATGCCCTTCATGGAACAGAGGCTCCAAGTTCAGGCATGCACATTCCTCTCTGCGCCCCGTCTTCCTCCTCCTACCTCTTTCTCTCCATCCCCTTTGCCCAGTGTTCAAGGGATTATGCAAAAGGACAAGGCCAGGCACTGTGAGTCTGCTGCTCCTTCAAAGCCTTAAGGTCCATTCSCTGTGCACATCTATACCCCAACCCAGCTTGTCCCTTGAAGCCATTAATCTCCCTATGCAGCTAGGCAAGGCCATCCCACCACTGGCTCTGTTGCCTAATTTCTGGGGCAGGAAAGGGTCATAGCAACCTGGACAAGCTGTGGACTCTCAGGGTGAAAGGACAAGGCAAGAGAGCAATGAGAAAAGCCCTCTGCCCCTGACCTTCTATGCAATGTTTACAATAATCCTTGGAGGCAGCACCACATACAAAGAAGAGGCACAGAGGGCTGTGTTACCTGGCACATGAAGGAAGGAATCACCCTGTGGAAGGTCGAGCCTTTGTAGCCGAAGCCCTTCTCACCAGTGCACAGGGCTCTGAAGTTCTCTGAGGGTTAGAGGGAGAGGCAGGTCAACCGGAYGAGTCCCCAACCTCAGGGACTAGCAGCCTTGGGTCCCCCAGGAGGTGAGCTGGAGATTGGCAGACCCTGGCCCACTTCCTGGATCTGCTCTGCCTGACTCACCTATGACTGGGACAAGTCACTTCCCTCTCTAACCCCAGTACCCAAACATTGACAAGAGTATACAGTCCTGGCTAAGCTAACCAGGTCACTGGGACAAGGAATCCCAGGGCTGTGGGCACATTGGGCAGTAGGGAGGAGTTGTCTCTGGGAATTTATATGTGCCTTCCACTGGTTCTGAGGCTCTCAGCTACTACCAGACAGGTGGGCAGAGCCAACATGAGGCTCAGAGGGAAAGAAGGTCACCCCATGGCACCCAGCAGCTGAGCCTCAAGTGGAACTCCCACCTGATCATGGTTTCTGAGCCAAAACGCTTCCCACCAGCCCACAGGACTTACTTCACCCACTCCCTTCCATCTGGACACTAAGTTGCCCTTACCTGCTGTTTTTGGTACAACATCTGCTTTCAGCTATGGGGAGAAAAGAGGGACAAAAGAAGATAGTTAGTCCAGAGGTAGGCGCTGAAAGGAGCCTCCTCACCACCCTAATCCCACAGTGGCCAAGGAAGTGTGAGAAACAACCACATGGCCATTCCACTCCTGTTACTCCAACCCTCCCTCCAGGAGGCAGCCTAAGCAGCTATCATTTCTGGCAGCCACTTCCTGAACCCAGGGCTGGGAGGAGGCAGCCTCAGTTTCCTAATTTATCAGAAGGGACTAACAATATCACCCTGGCCCACTTCCCACTTCCGGGGCAGAACTGACAGAGGGACTGGCCCCAAACCGTCAGAGACTCAGGGCCTAGACCAGGAAGATGCCAGTCCAAGCTCCTGGATGCACAGATGGGAAACTGAGGCCCAGAGAAAGGCAGGAAGGTATGGGTAAGGAAGGGAGGTTGGAGCTCCACCCAAGGAGGCCGCTTGCCTCTCACCTTCAAAGGTCATTCTTACAGTARATGAGGGCAGGGAGGGTACTCCCCATTTCCCAAAAGAGAAATAAATAAATAAATACCAAGGGTTCCCAGGAAACCAGATAATCCATACTAACTGACCCCTTTATTCAAAGTGGGGATAGACTAGGGCTTCCTCTCCATTACTTTGTACATCAAGTGTTTCTTGTTTTGCTTCTGAGAGAGGCAGGTGCTGAGTGTCCACCCCTAGAAGGAGGCTAGGACTGGGGCTCCAGACACCCTGCCCCATTCTCAAGAGCGCCATCCCGAGTTCACCCGGTGGTCCGGCCGTGGCCTGCGGGGTACTCACCACCCAGAAGAGAAGGGTCACAGCCTAAAGCCGCTTCTCCCTTCCATTACCCAGCACTCCGCGCCTCGAGTGTGGGCGGGACGGCTGCGCAGACCCAGGGAGCACCTGGTGTTACGCAAGGGCTGCCACGTGAGYGCCCAGCGGGCCTGCGGCCGGTACCAGACCCGACACCTAGGAGCTCAGCGCACAGACCCGGGCCTAATGGGCCTCGGCACCCTCCCCCAGCCCGCCAGCAGCGTGGCACTGGGCCTTCACCCTCTACAGGCTGACCTTGAGCTTCGACCTCCCTACAGGTCTTTCCTATCGCCTCCACAATTCCGCGGGAGGCTGCATGAGACCAAGCTGATATCCCTTCTCAGARAGGGGAAAACTGAGGTTCAGGACCCGGAGGTGGGAGGCTCAAGGTCATCAAGCGCGCCAGGCACAGCAGAGGGCCGGGGTCCAGTGCTGCCCCAGGACGATCCCGCACGCCCWGGCCAGCCCTGTCGGGGCGAGTGGCTTACCTCCAGCACCACGCGGCCGAGTGGCTGCCCATCGGCGCCGACATCCAGGTACACAAGGGGGTTCCCGGAGGAGGAAGAGGGTGGGTTGTGGGCGCCGCCACTGCTGCAGGTGCGGGCCGCCGAGAGGCGCAGMGGCGCGGAGCGAGGGACCGGGAGCAGGCCAAACAGGCGGGAGCCGCAACGCAGCGCCAACATTGCGGGCGCGATTGGGGCGGGAAGCGATGCGAGAGAAGACTACGGCAGCAGAGGTCACACTCCCAGGAAGCGATCCTAGATGACCGGGCGCCGCCACTTTTATTGGCCCGGCCGGCTTCGAGGCTCCGCCTCCGTCACGCCCCCTCCAGGCTTGTCCGCGGGCGACCCCTACTGGCCACATAGGACTGAGCAGCCAGTTGGTGGAGCTGAGGAGCTTCAAGTCTTTTGATGGGCCCCTGACAGGACCAGAGACCCTGGGGGACAAACACGACCGTGCAAGAGGATGCAGCTCCATTTTTATGCGGATCTCAATAGATTTTTTAAATTTTCTATTTTAAAAGGAAAAAATCTGGACTGGGGTTGTGGCTCAGTGGTAGAGTGCTTGTCTAACATGCATAAGGCATTGGGTTCCATCCTTAGCACCACATAAAAATAAAATAAAGGTATAGTTAGTCCACCTAAAACTAACAAATAAATATTAAACAAATAAATAAAAGAAAAAATCCTAACTGCATGGTTAACTGCAAAATATCACCATCCATGTTTTTCTTCTMATATAATGGAAGTCTACTTTTGTGCCTTGTATATAGAGACAACTCAAGCCAAATGACCCCCTGCCACTCCTCTCCCTAGAGGTGCTGCAGACAGAAATACAGAAAGATGATTTAGCACTGAGATTTAGAGAAAGGTGGAGATMAGAAAACTGATTAGAGAGGGCAGGCAGGAGGAAGCAGATAAGCAGAGACACCTCGCAAGTTACCTCACAAAGTGACCACAGGCCTCCTTGTCCTGATCTGAGCCTATCTCTAGATACTTCTAGAGACCAGGCCCTCTTCCATAAATGCACTGTGGTCCTACAGTGCTCCTGCCAGGTCCAAAGCCCTCTGAGGCTGACTCCTCCTCCCCAAACCCACAGACTGACAGCTCTGGTCCACACCAGCCAGGCCAGGCAGCGTCCCTCCCACCAAACACTCACCCTGAAATAGAGAGCTCCTGTCCAAACTCACAGCACCTGCAGGTAGATGCACAGCAGCCATCCCATAGGGAGTGCAAGGAAAAGTGACAAAACATGACRCAGAAGAGAAGGGACATCAGAGAGGGGGACCACAGCAGGGGATTTAAACCCCAAATTACTTCATACAGCCTGGGAGGCACAGGAGGCCCTTAGTAAAKGAGTACCAGCAAGGGCCTGAGAGGGCATCTGGGCTCACCCCTGTACTCTGCGGATGAGAAACTGGCCCAGAAASAGCAGTTTTCTGACCCTAGAGGATCCTAGAGTTCCGCTACCAGTCAGTGCCAGTCCTTCCAGATACCTAGTAAAGGAGTGATGATAACCCTTACCCTGCTTTCTAACCAAGTCTGTTCTAAGGGGAAAAAATGAAGGAGAAAGAGGAATTAATCAACTGTTAGCACTGTGCCCAAGAGTGTCAGTAATGGATAATGTAGACCGACTATTTGGGGCTTAGGACTCACACAGCAAGGAGTGTCAACTGCAGGGGCCCAGAGGCCTGAGGTAACAAGAGAAGGAAGCAAATTCTTGGAGGCAGGTGGACTTGAGCTGGGACCTGCTCTGGACTAACCTACCCCAGTCCTTGAGTCAGCTTATGGGAAGGGGTTGGGCAGCCATATAGGCAGAGCGGTGTCCTAGCCTCCTGAGCATGCAAGCTTGACCCCTTTTCTGGAAATTCACAACGCCCTTGTCTATATTTCTGTCCTAGCAGGGGTCTGGGCATTCATTGAAGCCTCAGTGGGATGCTGCCTAGGTCCCAGTCCAGCTTGGGGCTTCACTTTGCTCTGGGGAGTGGCCCCTCTTTTCTTGTGATTGTGTCCTGAAGTAAGCAGGCCTGAATGGGGAACCCACTTGCTCCCTACCCCACCTAATCCCTTAGTGTGTCCTCCAGACCCCTCTGATATTCAGACACACTGTAAGATTTGAGGGAGGGCAGTGGCTCATCTCCCAGGCCCTGCAGTAAAGCTTTCTGAGAGCCAAGGCCCCCAGCAGCCAACCCCAGCCCCTGAGCTCACACAGCCCCCAACCATATCAACAGGGGTCTTTGGAACACTGCTCTCTCTCAAGCCTGCTCTTGGGACCTTARTTTATTCCCCACCCTGATGCTGCATGAGCAGTCCTACCCAAGGAGAGCTGCTGTCATTCACACAACCACTTCTACTCTGTATTTCCCCAGCCCTAAGCTCACCTGCTTATCACATCTGCCTGAAAGGCAACCCCATTTACAGATGGGAAACACAGGCCCCAAGAATTAGGGGAGTGAATGGCCCAAAGATGGTGTTGGAGCTGCGCCCTATCTGTCTGACTTCAGGATTGGGGTTATTGCATGTCAGTCCTCCTTGCCATCATCAAGGAGCTGGGAATTGGGACAGAGTGGGGTGGGCAAGAGAGAAGTCTTGGACAGATGGTCCAGAAATACAGAAGCCGAGGAGGTAGCCAAGAGCTATGGATCTCAGGGATCAGGGAGAARGTTTCCACTGGGGGATCAGCTCTGACATGACTGTGTCTGAGAGACAGACACAAAGATATAAAGAGGTGATTCTAGAGGGGAATAAGCCAGTGCCAACCCAGACAAGGAGAGGTCAGGGCACTGATATTGAGCATGAGCCCAGAGGCCTGTAGAGGCCCAGTCACAGAGCCTGGAGGCCAGGCTGAGGTCAGACACTGTTGGATAGCCCTGGAGAGCCACAGAAGGTGCTATGCCCCCACCCCCAGCTTTCTTCCTTCCGATTATTTCTCCTTCCCTTTTTGGAAAATCAAACATCATCGTTGCCTCCTGTCTAAGCCAGAGAAAAGTTCACCTTCCCCACGGGCTTGGTTATGATGTCATCCCTACCTGTGCTGTCCTCAGTGGTATCAGGAAGAGAGACAGTCCCCAGGCTGAGCCATGGCTGAACACATGCTCAGCCCTTGAGGACACTGGGCCCAGATGAGATCATGAAGGTGTTGGCACTCACCTGGCTCCCCAGCTATTTGTGACTCTGTGTCATCCTCAGAGACAGCAGTATTTCTCCCCACTCGGCCCACGTGACTTCTTGTCCAGGGTGCAGATGGTTGTTGCCACCTGGGGATCCTATAACTGTGCCTGTAGGCTTCACAGAGCTGCAGTGCTGGGCTCAGATTCATGTTTGGCACCTGCAAACAAAGGTGCTTGTGGGAGCTGGSCAGGTGACATAACTGTGATACCGGTGGAGAAGACATAAGTAAAAAGGGGAGGGGACACTSTATCCAAATGGCTAAGGCATAACCCAGTTAAAGGGTCACTGCTGCCAGGCCAGCGCTTGTAGGTGGGACTGTGGGTCCAGAGTAGCCAGCCAGGTGTTCTCATTCTCCAGTAAAAGCTGAAGACTTCAGATGTCATGCAAATCTAAATTTTAAATGTTGGTAACTAATTTTAAAATAAAATTAACCACTAATGAGCCATAAACAACATATCTGCAATCCAGATGAGGCCTCAGGGACAAGAGTTCCTAAGTTCTGAGGGAGAGAACTGAAGYTCAGAGAGGTACAGTGACTTTTCCAGGTCACACTGCAGGGCAGTAAGTACTAGGACTATAGCCAAATCCCTGTCTTCCCTCTTTCCAAGGTCCTTTTTCTTCCTGTGTGYTGGGCCCTGAGCTTCACCCTGGGGACAGGCAGTTAGAGTGCAGTGGCCTGGGCTGCTGCCTACCTAGTAGTCCTTAGGTAGAGTAGGCCTTCATCTCTCTTGGTCCTGCTTGAGGGGCTTGGGGTCTGAGCCAGCACCTGGCACAGAGGTTCTCGGCGACCCTGCTGAGAGGCGATTGTGAGAGCTTTGCTCTGGGGCTGCTCCCCTGGGGAATCTCCAGGCTTCATGCAGTTCACGTGAAAGCTGTAGCTTGTGCTGGCTTCYAGGACCCAGATCAGTATGGAGGGCAGGGAGAGGCCAAGACCTGGAGTGGGCGGGGTGTCCGCCTTAAGGCCCAGGRTGGTGACAGGCACAATGACCAGGGAGACACCCCAAGGGGAAGAGTCCAGCTGTGTGATCAAGGTCACCGCAGGCCCCCAGGGGGCTCAGCAGGGAATGGCTCACACTCCAGCTGCCTGGTTCTGACCCAATCTCCCCAGCGCAGTTACCCAAACTCAGAAGTCCAGGGAGCTCACCTTCCAGTCTCTGCATGTCCACTGTGGGCTGGGTGACCCCAGGGACTGAGAAGACTTCCTRAGAATCCTCCACCTAGGGGAAGAGCTGGGAGGACTGGAGAGGCAGGCCGCTGGGAAAGGGCAGCTGTCCACCAGCCTRGGCCTGGCAGCGTGGGCTTTGGAGATGGCAGAACTCTGATGCAGACCTGGCTCCCCACTCCTTCCTTCATGAAATGAATCCATGGCGTCCCTCCATCGTATTTTCTGAGCCCCTGCCCTGGGCTCCCTGCTGGTCTAGGTCCTGGAAATAGGTGATCGATGGACCCAGGGGCAAACTCACATTCTTAGGGAAAAGAGAGTCAAAAGACTTTCAGAGATCTGTGTTACATCAGATGCATTACATTGCCATTTGCTAGAGTGACTGAGTCAGAGTCCCTTCTAGGGAGGCTCCATGTGGCCTGACCACAGAGGGGACATTTGGACCCAGTCACAGGTGGCTGTGTGGGCTCAGGGAAATATTCTGCTTGTTTTTGTTTTGTTTCGTGCCTCAGTCTCCTCATATATCATGACGAGTTAATAACACCTGCCTCGCTGAATTGCTCATACTAGGAAGAACAACATTACAAAGGCCCTTGAACCTACTAGGAGCTCAGGGAATCAATGAATGAATTAATATTGATTAGTGAATGAATGAATGAATACTGCCCAGCCCAGGCCAGCTGAGGATTCAGAGAAGGGCGATTTGCATGGATGATTTTGTACCTTATGGTGGGATCCTGTGGGGGTTTGTGGGTGGGTTTTTACTACTTCCCATCCCAGGCTCTCCTTAGAGAATTAATAATGCCATCCCCGCTTCTAACTGGCATATGACATTTGGAGTCTTCCTTACCTGAAAGTATACTCAGTGCCGTGGCTGCTGCTGCTGCTGGATTTTTGTTTTGTTTTGTTTTTGGTACTGGGGATGGAACTCGGGGGCACTC